TCTGTAAAATGAGGATAACACTCCCTTATCAGCTTCACAGGATCTTTCTCAAATGCTTTGAAGATAAAGTTTTATAAGCCTACAAATGTATTTTAATGAGTCTTAAAGTGATTATATTTCTAAAACAATTTGCCTTAAAAAGGAAAAGGATTTGAAGAGAACTGAAAGGAAGGGTCTCTGTGCTGTTAACCTCCCCTAACACTGCTGCAGTTTGCACTTTAAATACACCAAAGGCACACGAATTCATTTCCCTTCAGTCTGCCTAAAGGAAGCAAAATGGCAACAAGTGGATGCAAGCTGCAGGAGCTTCCAGAGACAACCCAGAGGTGTGGATTGGCAGTGGCAGCCACACTGTCCTCCTGCTGGGGAGGAACCTGCCCTGGACTCTGGCACAGACCTGCACCCTTCAGCACCGGCTGCTCCATCACTTCCCTCTAACACTGCAACAAACAGCAATCCCACTTCTGACAAGAAATTTGCTATTATTTGGCCACTATTTTTTTCGTCTTGGTCTTGGTTTCTAAAGTTTCTGAACAACAAACACAAAGGGAACCATGGTCTAGCCCATGTAAAGACAACTGCGATTTTTTTTCCCCTCTTCTTAAAGGGAATTTTGCCAAAAGATGGGCTGGGATCATAAACCATACCCTCTTCTTTAATTACTTAGCTTTTGCTCTTGACTTGGCAAAACATTAAGCTTTTCATTTCAGTAAATCTATAATTAACTCCAGCATGTGCTGAGTAAACATAACCTCACTTTTAATTAAATCTTAGAACAAGATGGTACAAAACTTGCTGTTTCTAAAGAGAAGTACCTCTCAAATAATGAGAAAAAAAAATCTAATCCTTGTCAAATAAGAAACTTGAATCCAAATTTGTGTATAATCCACCCTCTTTTAAGTCATCTGCTCCCCAAACATGCATTCCAGCTATAATACCAAAATGTAAACCTGAAGAGCCACCACTACACATCAAAAGACTCCAAGGCTAAAGTCAAACCAAATCTAAATGGTAACAGCAAAACAGAGAACTTTGGCTTTGGGACTCTTCAAGAATAATTTTTATAATGCATCTCACTGTTTTGTTTTTTTTTTCAAATGACACAGTAACTATTACACAGAGAAATATTATTTTTCAAGAATGAAAGAAGCTGAAGTATCATATGCATTATAACCATCAGAAACAAAGGGGAATCTTCTAGTTAGTAACTTGTGAGTGCAAGAATTCAGAAAGATTCAGAAAATTTCCTTCTGACAGTACATGCATATAGAACTAACTCTACAATTCTAAATTAAAATGAAATACCAATTCACTGAACAAAAGGAGAAATCTCTGAAAAAATAAAGTTCAGCTACTGTGAAAACACAGTGTCATGTCTAAGTCAAGCTCTTACATGAACTAATGTAATAAAATAAAATAACCATCTTTCAGTTGTGCTGACTTCTTCCAGTAACATCTTTGGTGTCACACATTTCCAAATGGCCCTCAAGAATTTAGATTAAGTGCTACATTTAAATAGTAGGAAACTTGACAAAACTTACTTCATGTTCAAGAACTGCATTTACCAGAGCCAAATAAATGAACCAAGAAACTGTTAAAGACAGCAGCTACAAGATTTACAATTTGCAGAACAAAAAAATGTTGTGCATTTAAATGAAAACAAGTCCTCAAGAGAACTTTAGAACATTAAATCTCTTTTTACTTATCTGCAACTCTTTAATCAGCTCCTCTCTGAAAGGCAGAACTTCTCAGGGATTCTGATTACCCCAGAATGCAGATACTGAAGACTGCATTAGGCAGAAGCTGGTCCACTTACTAATCTTATCTAAAGTATATTCAAAATATGACATTAAGAGAATTCCACAAAGCATTTTCTTCCAGCCATCTGCTATTATATTTCAGTTTCAACACGTTTGTTCTGGACAAATTTTTCCCTTTAACTCTCATCAAGTTCAGCTGGGTCACTCTGAGCAGTTCTCACAAGAGCTGAAGGAGGCTGATGGAAGCCTCAAACACAAATCAAACACAGAGCCTTGAGGCCAAAGCTCAGGACCTGACCCAAGGGTGGCAGCGCTTTGGGAGCGTTTGCTGAGCACAAAGGAAGGACCATCAGTCACACTGCCAGAGTGCCACTGCACAGAAGGTGCTTCCCATTTCCATGCTTCACCTAATGCCCATTTTCCATCATCAGTCCTGCATTGCCTGATTTCTTCAGGAAGCTAAAGCTGATGTCTCCACTCTGCTGCATGCATTTTTATCATTATCCTCCATCTCCTCCCTTAAAATGATTTTTTAAAACTCACTGAACAATCATGACCATACCTGAGAAAAGTAGAGTCGTCATTAAATTCTCCCATGTTTTATTAAAACCAGCACTTAGGAGATTAAAACCTTGCTCATGCCAGTGCAGATAAACCACAGCACAACCTCTGTCAGAGGCTGAAGAATCTCTACAATCAGACTAAAGGCTTAAATCTAAATCTTAAATGCACACCACTTCAATTACTTTAAAATTTGATTTCTATAAGACAAATCTTAAATACTAAAAATTAACATTAAGAGCACAACTGTGGAACAAAGCCATTAAAAATGCATAATGAATCAACATATGCTATTAATTGCATTGTTTCTTCCAGCTCTTAATTACAATTAAGGAAGACACAGCAAAGAAACATTCTTAAGAATTAAAATGCAATAGAACAGTGGGATTGTTCAGACACATAATAGCAAACATTTACCATCCAACTGTTCTGCAGCTGCAAGAAAGATATTTTTTAGCAATTGATTTAGGATATTACCCAGAGTATCTTCCTAGATATCCATGGAATTTTGAAAAAACTGACAGTACTTTTAACACCAGACACGGGGAATGGAGACCCAAGGGGAATGCCAGGACAACGACTCTGAAGTAATTTCCATAAATGACTGTCATCTAAATCCAAAAGCTCTTTTTAAATGCAGATCTTTAAATTCTGCACAAGTAGAAGCTAAGTCATATCTTAAATGGCTCCTTATTATAAATGAAGAGCCATTTAGGGCTGTCTTTCCCTAGCAGTGCAGTGTCTGCTGCACAGAGAGCAGTGAACACGCAGTAAAATGATGCACTGCAGTGGAATCACATCCCATCCTAGCTCAGCTGAACTTTGCCAGCTCTCCCAACAGAATGCTAGCTGACACTATAATGAAGATTCATGCTACCAGCATAATTAAGGATGAAACAATTCATCAAAATTTATTATTTTGCTCTCCTTTTTCAATTGTTGAACACAAGTGTGTTATTTTGAAACTCTAAGCTTTTTTTAATGAAGCCTTTGAAGTCTTCACAATTTTACAGAGAATATCTAAGAAAGCATGCTTGGAAGCCCTCTTTGGGAATTCCTAAACTTCTGTTTAGGAAACAGTGCAATAGATTAACTCTCCAGTGGGCAAATTATGCAGTGTGAGTGAAAGGCTAATCCTGCTTGGGCTGGTGACACTTGTGTGACATCCAGTCCCACTGACAGTGACAGGATTAGTACCAGCAGCAGCAGTGGCACAAGGGACACCACCACAAACACAAAGACCACACGCTGCTGCAGTCCCCAGTGCACAAGCAGACAACACCAGCAGCATTCCTAAGCATGCCCACTTGTCATGCACACAAAACACACATTCAGGGACAATGCTCAGGAGCAAATTTTCTATAAACTTCAGGAGAAATTTAACGCAGCAAGTCTCAGCTGATACCAGTTGCTAATCAAATGTGGTAGACTCCAAATCAACTCTTCAGTAATGTAAATTATCCTTTTGAAAGTCTTTTTTGGAACCTTTTTAAGTTAATGTGTGAAGTTTTGCAGAAAATGTGTCACTTTCTCTTTGAACAAGTCTTTCTTTCATGGTACAGCACCATAAGGTAAATTATCTTTGAGGAACATAAAGCACACTCAAGTCATTCCTTTCTTTTGAATGTAGGACATCTGAAAATTGATGGAAATTTTATTGGCCCTGGGTCATAATGTTTAACAGGTTTATCTAATTTCATTCCAGAGCATTTACATAGTCATATACAATTTTTTTTCTTTCTAATCATAACCATCCTTTGACTTTTTTAAGCAGTCTAGAAAAGTGCAAGGAAAGGACAGCGAGATTTCTGCATCCAAAACTTCAAGGAGCATTTGCAGAACATTTCTTGAGAATAAACAATGTGAACTTCAAAGACACGAAGGTCACATTGAGAAATTAGTTAAAATAGAGCCAAGAGCTAATCCTGTTAGATTAAGTTAGACCAGTTTTGAAATCATAGCCTTAAATTTTTATTATCTCTGCAGATCAGAAAATGCAAATACAACAGGGAAAAATTAAAAACTAAAATGAAATAAGTATTTGAAAATCACCATCATCTTATCTGAACAGATATAAGAGTGATGGAAGAATAATAATGTCATATCTGCTTATCAAAGTATTTAGAAGACAAAAAAAAAATCATTCAAAATCTGCCTATGGCCAACTTTTTCTGACTTTGTGTCACATTTACTTTGAATAAGTTTTGCTTTTTTATTATAAACTAGCAAGACAAACATTTGTTATCTGCTGTCACAATGAGATAGAACTGCCATAGGCAAAGCTACTAGACATGTGTCTTTTTAGAAAATATGAGATTGGGGCTGTTGGGCGAAAATAAAGGAAGGAAAGACCGGAATCCTTTCTATTGTGGAAAATTGGAAGAAACATCATTTTATCATAATGACAGTTGTCATTGGCATTTTGTGTCTTCTCAAAGAAGTTCAATATTTTCTTGATACGATGGCAAAGGCTGTTAAATAAATACATTTTTCCCACTTCAGCAGCATTTCTCAGGACTCTGCAAGCACACAGAGCAGCTTTTCTCTAAGTACAGAGCACACTGGGAGCAATACAAACTGCAATCCCTGCAAGTGCAGGGTGCAGCACTCAGAGCACCAAGAGCAGATGACTTGGCAAGTGAAGCTGCAGGGCTGTGACCCCTCAGACACTGCACTCACCTGCAGGTAAGTATTTCAGCTGGTTGTTTGCCAGGCGGAGGTGCCGCAAGGACCTCAGGCGGCCGATCTCGGGGCACACGATCTCCAGGGCATTGTCACTCAGGTCCAGAAACTGCAGCTTAACCAGGGAGCCAATGGCTTGTGAGAGAACAGATTAAAACATGAATGTGACCCAAGAGGGACTGCGAGAGGAGGACAAGGCACAGCAGCCGACAGCTGTGTCTGAGCACATCTCGAGGTGCTAAAGCCGGTCTCACAGCTCAGTGACATCAATTGTGGAAATGCTGCTCTAGCTAACAAAGCTCTGCTGGCAGTGAGACGGGGAACAAACACACTGATACTCCCATCTCCAGATCCTCCTCACACAATTCTGCTCTGAAACCACTTTCTCCATTCTCTTCCATTGATTCTATCCAATTTATATTCAGAAAGAGCATAAATTGAACACAAATTAATCAAGTTGGGAGCATAACTGCAATTAAGACAAAGAAAAGAAACTAGTACAAGTTCTTGCTCCTTTGGGTTTCAAATCTGTCATGATCTAAACCAGCAGAGTATTCAGTGTGGTAACTGCCTGAAAGCAGCAGACACTCTGGATTTTAGTTTCTGCAGATGAGTGCTGTTTAGCCTTTTCACTTTCTGCAATTAGAACTGGAGCAAACAGCATTTAGGTGCATTTGAGAATTCATTAAAAGAATTTAACATAGCATAAACAAGGACATTATCAACTAAAAGCCACACTGGTATATTTTGTATGAAAATCTTTAATGTTTTATGGGAAAATAAAGGAAAAATGGGCCTCTTCAAAAGAAGAAAAATGAATATTTTATGATTCCTGCCATTTATCGTGAGCTGGTAGATTACTTACCTTCAGGTACAACAACTATGTTATTTGAATGAAGGTACCTGGGGGGAGGAGAAAAAGCAGAGGACACCACCTGTTACCCTCAAGGACTTCTGCTACAGAATCAGTTTGCAAAATATCCAGTTTCAGACTGAAAGAGCACCCTCAAAGCCATTCCTCCCTATGACCACAAAAGCTGTGGAAACTGTATAAACTGGCAATGGACAGGTACTTAAGTTACACTTGGATTATTAAATGATTACCATAAAAATAAAAGAAAATTACATACAATTATGTAAAACAAACCATTCACAGTTACAGTAATAATAGGCTTTAATTTTGCAAGTCATATGGAGGAAAACAAAAAGGAAAAAGAATAAGCAGAGAGAATAACCAGAATAAATCATATTTGATCACCAGGTTATTTGACACTAAATGCTGGCCAAGGTAAGCAAAAAAGCCCACACCCATACAAGTTATACAACTATAAACATTTTCCCCTACACAAAAACTCTCACACCTTCAGTGAAAAAATAAGCACATGATCTGTTCACTGAAAGTGGGTTTTTCAAGCTTAAAGTACATTTTTCAAAAGAAAAACCCAATCCTGCACATGGTTATTTATGCAGCTACAGAGGGTGGCCAGATCTCTCACTAAGAATATTCAGCACCCTCTGATGGAGCACTTCCAGTACTTCTGGTAACATAAACACTGATCTTAGATTTTACACATTTCAGATTTCAATCACCATTGCTGCAAAAGAACAATTGTATCTTGTAGAAAATAACAGTAACAAAACTTTCCATACTGATATCCAACTGTAGAGGAATATTGAGTACTCAGTGTTCAATTGCTTAGGCACACATGGAATTATTTTCATGGCATGTTTCTTCCTACTGTATTCCAAAAGCATTTCCTAAAGTAGGAACCTCTCTTTTCAGGGAGACAGAACAAGGGAAAAGACATACAAACATTTCAACTGCATGGGGCACCTGAACCATCTCCTTCTTTTTAAAAATTGTAGTTTGCAAAATCTTAACAAACATAAGAACAGCATACATGTTTGTAGAAACATAGGACAATAATTCTCTTACTCATTTCAGCTGCAGCTCCTGAAAATATTTGTGAACTACTTAAGCTAAAAAATCCCTGTATTATGAGGAGCTACACCTCATAGCCCAGCATCAGGGGCATGATACACAAAGAAAAACACACAAGTGAAATAACTAAGGATGTAACTTTTAGGAAAATAAAAATAATTTGTCTCTCAAAACTGAAAGCTACTGTACGAAATTATTCTTGAAATAAATCCTTGTTTTGTGGTCTCTTCCTTGACAACAAAACACCCCTTATTGTCTCATCAAAAACTGACTTGTCCTATTAGAGCTACACAAACCACAGGCCCATTGCAGCTCTCTCCAGACCACCAGAAAGTGTGGGATAATGGTGGGACAACTGGGCTTGCTGAACACCAAACAACTAGGCTTGACTCCTGTAAATCAGTGTTTGTGAGAAATTACTTTAAGCTGTAAATTAAACAGGTTTTCCTAAAAGCAGTATCAAATAACACAGAGGTTTCCTGATGCCCAGTGGCAAATCATGATAACAAATATAAAAATATTAATTTTAGTGCTCTCAGGACAGAGGCATGATCAGATAGGATTTGCCTAGAGTGAGTCAGAGGCTGCAGTGACCTACAAACCAGTTCAGTTCCACTGTGGACACAGGCACCAGCAAGGTGGGGTTAAAGGGCCACATGAGGATGACTAGATCAGACAGCTGAGGGCATGGGCTCCTCAGATAAACACCTCCTGTGTGGAGCTGGCCATTAAATAAACAATCAGTGCTCCATCAGTTGCTCTGAAACTGAGACAAAAGGCTTAAAAGGGGAGAAGAGGATAGCCCTTTAACCCCCCCTGCCAATCCTACCACAGAGGGGAATCACAACTTTTTAAGAAGAAAAAGAGAAGAAGAAAACATTGTCTCACGGGCTTAATTAAATTAATTGTCAAAATAATCCAGTTCATGGGACATCCATTTTCTGGACAAGACTGGATAAACTGCTCTGCCTACAGCAATCATCATTCCATGGTTACTTCTCCTGCATGCTCATCCCTGCTCCTATTTGACAATCTGTGACTTGGTTCCAAAAACTGATTACTGCAATCAGCAAGACTGAGATCATAAAACCCCTGGGAGCCGGGGTGGAAGGAGCAGCTAGGGATGGGCTGGAGGCTGTAACCTGTTACTCTGGCTCTGTCACACCTCTCTGACCACTGCACTGGGAGGTTCCAGGGCTTTATCAGTGTGACAAGTCTACACGGAATTCATGGGGTAAGGCTTTTTCCCTTAGCAGTATAAACACTGGTTATAAAGGTTCTTCTCATACAATAAACAAGAACATTTTAAAAGATTAAAATTGGACTTAATACACCTCCATCAGAAGGAAAGCCCAACTAGAAACAAATTAAGAAAACACAACAACAAAAAAATTACCCTTTCTTGCCCTCCAAGAAAACCCTCCACACTTAAGAGAGAAATTATATGCAAGTAATAGATTCTAGATTATTTTAAGATGAGACAGATAAGCATAATAAAAATATATTAGAACTCCTACACAAACTCACAATTCCACGAGGTTTGGAAGCTTCTGTGCAAGGTTTTCTGGCTGAAAGAGAGTTAGAGATTTTTTAGGTTTTGAAACAAAAACCAGACACACAAACATTGTGTAGCCAAGTCATTTTAATCACCATGCCACAACATGTCAGCAGGAAAAATGGCAGCAAGGAATGTCTGTACAATACCCTGGTTCCATACCCCAAGTATCCATCAGGGCAAACTCAGATGTATCCCGGGTGAGCAATGCACCACTGAACAGAACTACAGCCTAGAAGTGACATTATCATGTCCTCAGCAAACTGGGAGTCAGATTTCTGAGACTGAAAAGATAGATTACCTCATCTCCTTTTGAAAATATATTCAAATAAATGAGTTAGTTGAAGGGAAGAGATTGCTAAGAAGTTGCAGCCTTTACAGACTTCAAGCAGAACAAGAACTACACAAGATGTCTAACCAGAATGTATTTTATAATGCTGCTAAACTGGGAAATGACCTACAATCTTTGTGTAGCTCGATCAATTACCACCAAGCCAGAACTGCTGAATCCATCAAACTAGATTTTCATATTTACATATTAACATGCATATCATTTCTTAACTGCCAACTGATCCCTAGCTGCAATTCTCTTCCTTGGTGGCATTTATAACCATGAGCACATATCACAAAATTGGCTTCACAAGCTTCAGATGTCGTGTTGGAAACTATACTCAAAATTATTCAAAGTTAAGACAGTTTTATTGCTCAAGAAACCTGCTTTAACATAGATTTGTTTTACTGAAAAAAGGGGTTACAATACTGATCCACGCAGAAATGACTGCATTTCAAAAGCAGCTTGATCACACAGTTAAATTCCTGTTAAAACGACAAATATCCATGTGAATAAAGATGATGTGTGATACCTTAAATAGCTATATTATCTAAAATCCATAACTTTGCGTTCGTAGCTCCATGATGGAGAAGACGCTGACCTGAAGAGGGTGATGTTGTCACGCAGCACACGCGGCCGTGCCAGCTGCGAGCCCCGAGCCCGGCTCGGCTCGGGCCGGGCCGCGGTGACGTCACAGCGGCAGCGCGGTGCCCGAGCCGGCGCTGCCCCCTGGCGGCCGCGCCGACACCGGGACCCCGGGCTCAAAACCATCCCGCCTTCCCTGAAAAACGGGGAAAAACCCACCTCGCTGCCACCCTGCAGCCTTCAGAAGGATCTTAACCTGAACCACGAACTGCTGTCACCACTCCACCTGCTGCTCTGTCAGAACAGACAGCATCACATATTCTGAAGTAGGAAATTAAGATTAATTACTCTTGATCTTGCTTCCGACAGAGCTAACAAGGCAAACACCTATTTGCTTTTAATAGATGAGGAAATTGGGTACTGGCAGGTTCATGTGATCAAGGATGAACTGAGAAGTGGGAAGATTTGGTGCTGGGATACAGGTGTGCTGTATGGCTCCTTGATCCATTCATTATGTCACAGCACTCCATCACTTCCATCTTGCCAATGGAGACAAAAATGAAATTATTCTTAGCCAAGGTAAATTCTGTCAGAGTAACTATCCCAGACATTTCATAGGAGTCATCTGTCAAGGACAAGAGTCATTTGAGAAGAGTAAAGAACAAAAGCTGATTTAGTAATTTATTTTCAGAATTCTGAAATGAACCAGTGGGACAAAAGTACCACCTAATTTTAGAGGAATATGGTTCAGGTTCCGTTTTGATGGTTTTCAATAATGCTCATGCAATTTGAAGTATTTATTGATGAGCTACTGCTCATCACCTTGCATTAGAGAACTACAAGGAAGACACATCTTCCTTCAATAGTTTGTTTTCAAGTACTCTCAGCTGAGATTTCCACTCCCCCCACTGTCCCAGTGTACCTGACTTAAGACTTCACTAAAATTGAGGGCACTACCTGTCCTGCCAGTAGTGGACATAAAAAACCTCATTATGAAATTATTCTCTGTAAAAATATCATGATTTCTGTTTCCCCAGTTCCTCCTGGCTTTTTTCTCCATCAATCTTTAACCTTTTCTCTCAGGACATGCTCTCTAAGGACCCCTCACTGCTGCTCTCTAGGTTCTCTCCAGTTCACCCAGGCTGCTCACGAGTATCAAACTCTCTGCTCCAGCTTGTGCTTTAACAGTATCAATAATTACTTCCTTCTGCTTTTAATGGAGATTGTGAAACTTTCCACGTTCCAAAAAGACATCTGCCTTTTTTTGTAACATGCTGCTGACTTGATCTATTTTGGTCCACTACAACTTCCAACATCTCTTCTGTGGAACAGATGCTCAGTGAATGACACCCAAATTTGTTTGCCTTGTTCCAACAATAGCGCTGAGCACTTGAATGAGAGCCCAACAAGGCACATTATGAGCAAGTTATCCTGATTGCTGTGAATCTAATCAAGCTCTGCTTCACGCTGTTTGAAAGCAATTTTCACTAAGTATGACCTACATTTTAACTTTTGTTTCAGTTTCTTTATCTAGGTCTTAACACTTACATACAAAACCCTCTTTATTGTTTCATCTTCTGAGCAGTGCAAAGTTTGTGAACCTTACTGCAAATCATCACTGAATTTCACAAAGTGTCAAGGCAGAGCTGTTTACAGCCTCTGGCTAATTTTACAGCAGTTTTGATTTGTAACCATGAATCCTATCCTCCTGTTAAATTATTACACATTATTAAATTACTGCCCAAAACCAGAGTGCTAAAATAATTCTCTACAGTACACGTCAACTTAAGTGACTCATTCAAGATGAAGAAAAGGCATAAAATCTTCAGAATCCTTTCAGCTTTTGGCCCTTAAAGTGGAGTACTGGACTTGTTCTAGGAAACCCTGAAAACAATTTTGGTGAATTTTAAGTAGTCATGCCCTACAGCTCCTCTACCATTGGTACTATTTTACCCTCATACCTGGAAGAGCCCACCAAAAAAACCCAACCAACAAATCCAAACCAATCAAGCAACCAAAAATGAAAACTTGGAGACTTGAGCCTATTGACAGTGGCAAGTTCTGACTCTACCATATAGTCTTACCAGCTCAGAACATCTCTCACAGTTATTTAACTGCCCTGCCCCACACTGAATTTTGAGGTCACAGCATTGACTCAGGGTGAGAATTTCTCCAGTTCAGGGATAAACAACAAAACAAAAAGAAATCAAAAAACAAAATCCCACATTAATTGTGACATTAGCTGACAGATAACTGTGTTCTCCTATTAACAGCAGCCCACAGATATAAGTTTTTACTGGCACCTTAACAGCAGGGCTGGAATTAGACCCTGGGACTGACACTGCCTTTGAAATTAGGCACACACCAGGGGAAGAAGTCATTCAGCCTAATGCAGCAATGTAGAATGGACTGCACAGCATCACCTAACAGGAGAAACTGACCACTTATGTGAGTAAAACCTGTAGGTTAAAAAAACCCCAACAGAACAACAAACCTGACAAGAAAAGCCCCAAAAGGTCTTGGGAGCTTGAGAAGGGTAACCATAAAATGTCATGAACATCCATTTATTATTCTCTACATTGCCTATGCCAGTTCAAATACTCACATCTTACAGCTGATTACATCATTCAGGGGCAGATTATCTATAATATACTCTTTTTTTTTTTCTGTTTCAAAAATCAGAATTGCTAAACACACAGACAGTAAACATTGCAATAAAGAGACTGTCATACCAATGTGGTCAGGGAATTTCTTTTCATGTAAAGTCTCTCCAAGTACTGCAGCCCCTCATCTTTCAGTAACTCCAGAGGGAAGTGATGGAGATTTCGGTAATTTAAGAACAAATTCTTGTGCCTTTCCAGCTTTGCCTCAGAGATTGTTTTGCACAGTTCTGATGCCATGACTAAGCACCACATCTACTGCATCGCCTCTTCGGAGAGCAGACCCATTTCTAGGAGACAAAAAGAGGAAAAAGCCCAGTATTACCAAGGTGCTGCCATGCTCCTTCTGCAGGAAGAGCTCCTGGTTACAGATTCTCTGATGATTTATCTAAACACTCTTGTTCCACTTAATCCACAAAGCGCCCAGAACATCCACACCATAAGCTGTGCTAGAAGCAAGTCTTTGGCTATTTTCTGGATTAAGCTTTAGTGCATTATAGGACCTGAAATAATAAAATTTTTGTTATATTTGTTTATATTTAATGCTTTTAGCTTCATACATGTTTGATGGACCTTTTGGATCGTTTTGTCAAAATTGCCACCACGAGAAGAAGAAGAAAAAAAGCAACTTCTATTAACCATTACAGATGTCCCACATCTATCCTGTGCCATTTGCTAAAAGAAGAACCCACAGATAAGAAAAATACACAATTAATACAGGATTTTAGACTCAGATGATTAAAAAACACCATTATCTTTTAAGACATAAGACAGAAGGCAATGAAAGTTTGAAGTGCTTTCCCATATAAAACTGGTGGAATAATTTACCAGTTGGAAGAGGTAATTGGGATGGACAGATAGCCAGTAAAGCCATTTAAAAATAACACACTGATACATGAGAAATCTGAAACTTGCAGTGAGAAAATTTACAAAGGGTTAGATAAGACAGCAGATTTTCAGCTTGCTCTACTAAAAATAAAACCAGAAAGAACAAAGTGTCAAGCTCTAACTGACAATTTCAAAACAAGAAAACAAAAGCAGGAAGACAAATTAAAAATTAACTCGTATCTGAAACCTGGCTTTATTCAACTTGTTTTTCAGATATAACCAAAATTCAAGTCATTATTATGCTGCCTAGATTACAGCAATGCTGCATGTTTTTAACTCTCTCATAAAACACAGACCCAGACTATTCATTAATTTAAAGTTACCATTTTTCTACAGACTTGTGTGTACAAATTAATTCCCATTAATGAAAGGCAAGGACTCAGAAGTGCTTCCCACCAATAACATTTTCTATTTTAGTTCAATCCTTCACTGAAGGAGAGGTTTCTAACCATAACAAATATTGGAAGTGAAGGTCCTGACTCATAAATCCCATCTGGTGATAGGCATGGTACACAAAACTCCAGCTGAAGAGTGACAACCCAACCCCACATGTAAATCAAACTGCTTCATTAGTTTGAGTACTTCCCTGGATTTGCAGATAACAGCTCTTAGCAGTGATCTGTGTCCTTCTGGAGCAATACACATTTGTGAGGTTTTAAAGAGGTTTTTAACCATTGCCTTCATTAGCTGTTTTAGGGAACAGGGCACACACACTGGCCCGTGGCACTCCTAACATTAAAGCTCTTAGTCCAGAAGAACAGGGAAACGAAGCCATTACAATTCCCAACTCTACTTCTGTGATCAGCATTAAAATAATTCCTGGAAAAGTGTTAAAATTTGTAATGGGCATAGGCTGAGTATTTATCATTAACCTCTACAATGTAAGACAAGGTAAAGGAAAGCTCATCTTTCTCTGATTTTTTTTTTTTTAATCAGAAGCTGAGAAATTATGACACATACACATGAATATCCAATAGACTTCCAATTTGTCCAGAGATGGTTTTCAGGCATCCTGCACTTGTGGGCTTCTCTTCACAGAGCTGTGACTCCACAAAACAAACGCACATTTAGCCATGGCACACACGGATGCACACACAACGCCACAGATGCAAAGTCCAGCCACCATCTACTTTGGCTCTCACTTCAAAGGAGCCTCCTCCACTCCCTGCCACCACCAGCCAAACTTTTCCTCTCCCAATTATCTTTTTCCAAGGATGAGGCACAGCCTTACAGAAGGGGAACAGCCACAACCATGCTCTTTGAGGAGAGTATAAAGGAAAGATGAAGGCTGCTAACAACCAGTGCCAATGGCCCCATGAGGGGCCGGGTCCTTCTGGGAAGGGCGAGGAGGAAGGGAAGGGGGCACGGCGGTGAATGAGGGGAAACAGAGATGGGAAAGGGGGAAAGAAGGTGGAGAGAGCGGCACGGGGCAAGGGGGAGGAGAAGGAGAAACGGGGAGACAAGCAGGGAACGGGACAGACAGCGGCGATGGGGCCCGGCCACAGCGCGCACCCCCTCACGGAGCGGCGCCGCGCCCGCGCGGTCCGGCGGGCAGACAGCAGGGGCAGAGCACCGGAGACAACCTCCCACCGCCAGGACGCGATCACGTCGGCCCTGACCTCGGCCCTGTCCCTGTCCCCGTCCCCCCGCGGCCCGGCCGGGTCGCTGCCACTCACCGCGGAGTGAGCGCGGCGGGAGCGGCGCCGCCGCCGGCCCAGGCACCCGGGGGCGGCACGGGCCGCGCGAGACCGCGGCTGCCGCGCGGCTCTCGCGAGATGCCGCCCCGCCCCGCCGCGGGTAGCAACCAATCACAAGGCTCCGTCTCTCCCGCCTCCCCCCGCCAGCCAATGGGAGCGCGTCCCCCCTCAGAGCAACGCCCGCCCCTCGCTGTGGGCTGAGGGGCCGCGGGCGGTCCCGGTGTCTCGATGTCCCGGTGTCCGCCGGTGTAACCGGTGTTCCCGGTCCCTGCCTGTGTTCAGGTGTTTGGGTGTTCCCGGTGTCCCGGCCTCTGCCGGTGTTCGGGTGTTCCCGGTGTTCCCAGTGTCCCGGTCCCTCCCGGTGCGGCTCCATGAGCGAACACGGGGGCTCTGCTCGCTTCCCCGCAGCCCCCGGTGCTAACAAGTGATCCCTGCCTAATCGCTGATAAAGGAGGACCTAATTTCCTGATAAAAGTTGTGCTCAGGGGCCGCCCTGGCCCTTTTCTTTCTGTGTTAACAGCAGAGTGGAGGCGCTCGGAGGGTCCTGCCTGCACCCATCGGGACCATTTCTACCCATGATAGCTGCCCTGTGGAAATGTTTTGGTTTTATGTGTATTCACACACACTAGGATGACACAGAAAGGCTTGTTTGGGTCTTGTCAGTCCTCTGCTGACAGCAAATTTCCTCAGGGTGTTTAACATTGCCGGGTATTAAAATGTTGCTTTTTGTTGAAGTTCACCTCTACAGCTGGCTAAAAAAAGAATCTCAGCTGCAGAAATCCTCTTTCTAGTTTCCATAGTCTAATCAACATAAACTAACAAGATTCAGGTCTGAGTCTTATAACCTGTAGGTCTGCAGGGTTACCAAGATAAGCACCTTGCAGAAGGTATTTCTTCCATATATCCACATAACTTTCAGTTGAAATAAACCAACATGCAGAAAAGCTTGAGATCTTTCCCCTTGCAGACTCATTTTTCTCTTTTTCGGTTCTAAATAAAGAATAGCAGCTCTTAATGGCTCATTTGTCATTTTCCTGCACTTGAAAGGCAATAATTGATTGTGACAACTACTCTTGCTCCATCTTACTTTGCAATCACAGTCTTTTTGGAGTTGTTTTTTGTTTTTTTTTCTCAGAAAAAAATAGATTGGGTTTTGTTGAAATAATTTACCCTTCAAAATTCACCATCCTCCATATTTATCATATCATTCTGTACACATGATTTCTTACTGTGGTTGATAGCACTTGTCTGGTTTTTTGCAGCTGATGGTACAAAGTGGCCTGCTTGTAGACCCCCATGGTTTTAAAAACAGCAAATACATCACACTTCTTAATGTCACTTTGATCTCACTCTATAAATATCTGAGAAATTAAAAGTTAAGCTTATTTCAGACCAAAGTAGAAGCTGAATATGAGGACTTTTAGCAACATGTTCCTCAGAGAGAATTCAATGTGTCAAACCAAATGTACTTGTCCAGGATATTGAGTCATTGATCAGGACAGAAATTGTTTCTGTCTTCTACTGAAATAGAAAAGGAAAGATAAAGCTTTTTTCCTGGGAGACCTTCTCTTAACAGAGCCAGGATACTTAATGTGTTTATTTACACATGTTGTAATCGTTTGAGGTTCTTTGGTTGGAGATTTTTTGAGAGAGTTACAGGTAGGAGATAAGATTACTGCACTCTGATATTGTTGAGAGGAAATTGTGTCTGTTCTTTTCTGCTGGCACCAACACACAACACTTTTTCTTGTGTCTTTCCCCCTGAAAGGTCACTCAGGATTCTCTCTTTGTTGTTTTGTGTAGCCTGAATCATCACATTCATTCATTCTCTGTTTTTTCCCCTCAGCCAATGCCATGGGGATCTCTGAAAAGTGCTGCTCTCAGATCTGAAAGCTGACCCCAAAGCTCTGATCCTGCCCAGCACAGGTGTCCAGTCTGGCTTGTGTAGTCACAAGGCTAAAAATGATGAGTGGAGCAGGGATATTGGAATCTGATCTTCTGTGAGGAGACCATTTACCTCATGGCTGCCAAGTCATTCTCATCTAACTTCTCAGACTAGTGCAATCTCTCTGCTAAATAAATTTTACTGTTTCTTTACCCTCATTTAATTATTATTTTTGTGCTTCTGAGAGGATGGGGGCTTGACTTTTACCTCGTGCTAAGAAGGATGGCTGATCGTATCTGTGCTTGTAAAGAAACAAATAAAGCTTGCTTTGAAATGTCAGTTTAAAGCAGATCTATTCAAGTAGTTTGCAGTTGTCAGTGGCTTGAAGATCCACCATCATCTGGGGGTTTACTGGAACAAATCCAGTGGCTGGAGAAAACAGGCACAGCTTCTCTGGTGATCCCTTGTGTGTGCGAAAATCACATAAATCAGATGAAGACAGTAAGATAAAATAAAATAAAAAAAAAATATGAAAATAGATGATGCTCTGCCAGATTTATTACACAAGGCAACTAATAGAGACTGACAGCTTTGGGGAGATGCAATTGAAAATACCTTTTCATAGTAAAACTTTATGCCAACATTTTCTTTTGTTTTGCTGAGTGAAACATGAAAAAAATATTTTTATTGAGGTTTTTATCACAAGTTTCCTAGCTCTCAATGTCACAGACTTACAAGATCCAAAGTATCTCAGTGAATTTCTGAATTTGAGTCCTGAACACTGTGAGGTTGTGCCTCCTTAATAATCCTGCATGAGTCTTTTCCACCCAGTGCTGTGGATACCACTTATATTGAATCATGTGCATTAAATTAGACTTTGTAAATTTGGAATATGATAAAAATACCCACTTCGCAATTAAAGGTCAGTTTTTAGCAGCAGGAAAATTCAATGTGATTGATGCACGACAGCAAGAGAGTTTCTCCTTTAAGGTCAGGTAATTACCAAGTATTTTTATTCTCTGCTCTTCAGTGTGTCAAGCAGCAGTACAAAATAGGCTTTCTTGGACACCACTGTGTTCTGGGAATTATGGAGAGGCAAAAATCCTTCAGTAAACACTGAGCTCATGCAGAGAGGTCCTGTGGGCTGGAGGAATTTTCTAGGCACAGATCAATCCAGTGATCAGCTGATGGAGTTTCAGCTTCCTTTAGGTTCTGGTGTGTACAAGTGTTAGCACAAGTGTGTGAAGCAGCAGTGACCCAGCCCGGTGCATCTGCCAGCTCCCACAGCCAGAGAACATCTTTCCCATGCTCAGACTGGAGAAGAATCTGCCTAACACATGCTTGGGACATTTGGAGTGGTCTAGGAAAATGGCAGAACTCTCCTTTACATGGCAGGGTTCCAGCACAGGGGCTGAATGGTTTGTGCTGTCCTACTGTCTTCTGCTTACCCCTAGAAAATTAACATTGCCTGGAATTTTGAAAGCCCTTATGCAGTTTGGTATGCAATTTCATTTTTGCGCTCTTACAGACACCAAGGGGTGGTTTTCTTCCTCATCTGAGAACTGATAACTTCAGTTTCTTAAATTTCTTCCATTGTTTGAACAAGAGCCGAGGGCCTCATGTCATCATCAGGTTCTGCAAAGACTTGAAGAAGCAAACAGAACATTTCCAGTTTGCATCCCTTCTTGTAAGGATTTTTTTTTCAAATTTTCATTCTTCTTGCCCTTGTTTTCACTTTACACTATCTTATCTAAGATGTTTTCAGTAAATCCAGATTTCATATACATAATGATACAAGATTCAGTTGGTGTAAATGTCAAGAATTTTGGATCTATTCTTTCCACTGGAGGTTTATTTTGCATCATGCATCATTTGTTGATTTGTCTCTTGTACCAGAAATAAATAAGCTCTGTAAAATGTTCAGTCTTTACTAATGGAGAAAGAATCCATTCTCCAAAAGGTCCTTGTTCTTCTTAGGAAGTCTTTTGTAACTTTCAGTTAGTAATTTTGGTTTAGGGACAAAGCTCTCTTATTGGAGTGGAATAAAGTTACAGTGACTCATCACAGTACTGCTGACTCTGATTCCATAAATGTTTCAACTCTGCCTTTCTGCAGCAGTACAAGAGTGGGAAGGCAGATGGAGCTCCTGCACACCGAGTGTCAGCATGCCAGCATTCAACGTTTAGACATCATCCACCTTTGGCTCAAGTCTTTTTATTTTCAGTTTATTCTTTGTTGTATTTGTTAAACTCGAACTGACTCCTTTTTCAATGGCACAGTAATGCTAGTGAAAAACCTAATTTTAAAGGAATTTGCACTGCCTGGTATGCTTCAAATCAGCATTGTTCAACATGGAAGCTTTTAAACCAGTTTATTGCTAATTTGGGCTGAACTAATTTTTGAGGGAAATTTCCTGGTAATCACATTGATTATGTTGTGTAATAGACTCCTGAAGAAGTAATGGAAAGCACTGGTGATTTGGACAGGCTGCATTTGGAATGGAACAACCCTAATACAGAAAAAGCAAGCAGTGGATTTTGTCCCTGATCATGCAGCTTCTGCTCATTCTAAATTCCCACTGATCTAATTAATCTCAATTGGAAAAAGAACAATGCCTCACTGACTGCCCCAGAAACCAAATTCCTCTGTTAATGTGTTAAGCAAATATAACAATAGGCAGAATCAACATTTCTGCCTCTGATCCATTGGGAAATCTCAATGTGGGATCACTGCAAAGGTACCAAACCAGCAGCTCCCCATGGCTTTTCAGCTCTTAGTCCTTTAAAGACTGTGAAAGGAGCTGAGGCTGATGTGGAGGTATTTTGTGCTACCTCTTGTTGACAAGAAAATCACAGCTTTCAAATTAATTTCAATTAACCAAATACTATTTTTCAGCTTGCTGACATTGCTGTATGTCACAAGTGCATTAATGAATAAAATTTTGTTTATTGTTTGGAATTCACTTTATGAAACTCTTTAAACTTTACTGATTTGGTTAAAGTCACTTAAAATATTGTCTCCAGTTTTGCTTTGTTCAAACCAATAAAGAAGTAAAACTTGAATATCAAATTTAGACAGCACATGGACACTTATTATTTTCAGGCAACAAATAGCATGAAATGTTCTTTGGTCTATTTTTATGTGTCCTCAATAATATT